AGAGCAGATAAGTAGAACTAAAAAAGAAAAGGAATTTTTCTCCAGTCTCTGCAGATAATGTAACGGTGTTTTCAAATATCTCAATAGGTGTGTGACACTATCCCATTAAATAAGAGAAGTGAATTCCTTCATGTGTCTTGGTGATCTTAATTCTTTAAAGTTATTTTTAATCCCTGTCAAACACTGGTACACTTAATTTGATTAATAACTATAGAGTTTAGTGTCTTTGGACACTAAAAAAAGGTTCTGTGTTTCCTTAATTATGTGGTAATTCTTACATCCTTTTCATGGACCTTGGACATGGATAATGTGTGCTGAATCAGGGAACCTATTGGACATGGAAAGTTATCTAACAGTACCAAATGCTGAATGTATTTATTATCATGATACACTGATTGTAATAAACGGCATTCACTATGTCATTTCACTCTGTGCTGAAAGCATTTATAACACAATACATCATTACTGCTAAAAGGGGAATTTGAAGGCATAATTACAGTAGGTAAGTGTATAGTGGCAATCCCCTACATTGCCTCCAAGGCACTGATTTTGAAAAGTCCATTACAGACCTTGAGATGATACAGCAGCCTTTTCCTTGGAGGGCTTCTCAGGACTTCAGAAGTAGAAGTACAGGAGAGAATATTCAACTGTTGATTTTAAACTGGGGTCCTATAAAACATCAGAGTCTGCTGTGAATTGGCAGGCTTCAGTAAGATTTCAGGATATACTCTTGTCGTATTTTAACCCCAGGCAGCCACCAAACACCAGGCAGCCGCTCACTCACTCCCCCACCAGCAGGATGGGGGAGAGAATCGGAAGGGTAAAAGCTACAGAAACTCATGGGTTGAGATAAAGACAGTTCAGTAGAGAAAACAAATGCTGCACACAGAAGCAAAGCAAAACAAGGAATTAATTCACTCCTTCCCATGGGCAGGAGATGTTCAGTATCTCCAGGAGAGCAGGAATCCATCACATGTTAACGGTTCCTTGGGAAGACAAACACCATCACTCCAGATGTCCCCCCTTCCTCCTTCTTCCTCCCACTTTATATACTGAGCATGATGTCATATGGTATGGAATATCCCTTTGGTCAGTTGGGGTCACCTGTCCCAGCTGTGTCTCCTCCCAGTCTCCCATGCATCCCCAACTTCCTTGCCAGTGTGGCAGTATGGGAAGCAGCAAAGACCTTGGCTCTGTGTGAGCTCTGCTCAGCAATAACAAAAACATCTCTGCATTATCAAGTCTGTGTTCTGCACAAATCCTAAACAAAGCCCCATCCTAGCCACTGTGAAGAAAGTTAACTCCACTTCAGACCAAATCAGCACAGTGCCTTAGATACTTCACCTTCTTTACCTGAAAGGAAAGGTATGTGTATGCAAACAGTCCTGGTTTCTGAATTCTGATTGCTTTAGGAACTAATGAGCAGGAAGGGTCTTGCTGACATCAAGTGGATAGAGGATAAAAGACCTTTTATTTGTACATTGTCATGCAGGCACATCTCGTCTCTGCCTTCAGAGGTGCAGTTGATGTGCTCAAACAGCAACATCTTATTATTGATCAAAAATGATATAGTTATTAAAAATCTCTTGGAAGACAACAGTAGGTATGACAATGTGTCCCTGCTGAAGTGACTTGTCACATGAAGTGAAACAAATGAATTGTGTTTAAGAGAATGATACCACAAAGTTCATGTGTGTGCATATCTGTCACTATATGGGTTTTCAGAGGGTGGCTGAGGTTATTTGATACTCCTTTATGTGTGTAGATAATTGTGCATGGGGTCATATATGTTTAAATATACCTTTGTGTGTGTGTGTTAATCATTGCTCGGTGATTGCTCTAGAATATAATTGCTCTATGTTTTTTAAATGCAGAAGATGGAACCAGGCTTACTGATATTTGTGAAATGTATTAGCTGTTACTACTTTAGAGAACAGCAAAAGGTCCTGCCAGAGGGACTGGCACTAAAACAGTCCTGTGCAGAGCAGAACCTTGAGACAAAGGTAGTCATGTTGGTTTGGATGCTGCCCGCCTGCAATATGGCACAAGTATAGGTCATGAGGTAGATTGTCAAAATAGGAATTGAAGGAAGGTGGCATATGTGCTAAAGGAGAAATAATCAGGTCATCTGATTTCAAGCAAGAGTCTGCAAAATTCTGAAAAGTTAAGTCAGTGAATAGACAACTAAAATGTTTGCAATCGGGTTGGATCAGAGGAGAGCAGAGATTGTGAGGGGATGGCACAAAACCTGGCAGAACTAGTTTGGCTGGACAGTTTTGCCCCATCTGTCACTGTATGGTTTTCAGGGGGTGACTGAAGTAGTTTGATTCTCCCTTTCTCAGCTTAACAGCTGGTGTTTTAAGATTTTAATTTTTAAGGAATATAAAGGGTCTAAACTGACTAACATGATAGTCCTGGGACTGATGCTGAATCATATTATATCAAAAATCTTTCTGTATATACCCAACTCAGTTACTTTGTGTGGCTTTGTGATTGCCTGTATTTATTTGCTTTCTAAGATGCAGTACTTGCTTAAAAACTCCAGTGATACGTGTGCTGTTTTAATTTCCTTTACGTTTTAGAAAATGAGCTAGGACTGCACAACTTTGTCACTGAAATTGCATTCTCTGCAGGACCTGCAGCATTCACTGTGATTGTATAATATCACAACAACCTCTCATGTAGGTTTTTTTCGTTGTCAGTAACTGATGTCTTGTTCTATTAATGTACAGCTGGGGTTGCACAGGTTGGTATAAAGAATGGGCATACTAAAATAGGTAAACATAAGCAAATATATTTAGTAGTTATAATCTATGCAATGGTCTTTTAAAGTTTTGAAGTTAGGTTGCTATGCCATAATAACCTTGAACGTCTTTGCCCAGCACCCAGGCTTTGGTAGCTTGGCATCTGGATTTGAAGAATCTAAACTTTGTTTGTTTTCCATAGAAATGAGATACATTGCTTATTTATGGATAAACAGTAAGCTTCTAGTTGAGAATATATAATCTGAGAGTGCAATAAGAAGCAGAAGGAATGCTGAGGGCAGTAGGTGCCTCTTTGTATGTATTAGGCAGCAGACATCTACATGCTTCTTTGTGATTCTTTATTCTTTGCTTTTAATCTTGCTTTTTTTTGACTGTATAGACAGAACATTATACCTTGCTGCTGACAACTGGCAATTTCTGACTTCCCAGTAGAACTGGATTTTGAGAAGATTTGGATGTGTGGAGTTAAATGTGGCTTCCAGAAGCCTTCTCTGGTGGAAGTAAATAGGAGTTTTATAATAGGTGTCAGCAGGCCATGACTTGCCATTTGATGTTATTTTCCTACCCTTAAGAAGAAGGATTTGTTGGGGGATCAGAAACTGGATCACTTTGGTGGCTCAAACACTGCAGTGCAGTGTCAGTTTTGTCAGGCAGTTAGCCATTTAATTTAGGGAGCCTTAAGAAATGAGGACACATCAGTGTTAGTGTTTTGATATCTATCCTCCATGAATCTTCCTCTCTCCAAGAATCACACCCTTGCTGGGATATCAGAGTGTGCAGATCTTTCAGTGGAAATGAGTCTGGATGAGGCATTGCAGTCACTAATGGGCAAGCAGAGCCCAGAGCCAGGCTCAAACTCATGTGTACACAGATGCTGTGTCCTCAGTCCCACTCTGTCCCACCAGTGTCACTCTGGAGGTTCCTCTCCTGCTGCACCATGAGTTGGTTATGTAGGCATGACCTCACATAGCTGCACTGGGGAAAAGGAGCTGAGGAACTGGGAGGATCTATATGCCTTGTCTTAGCCAACGGGTGAGGGGGTAACATCCAGCCATAGCCACGATCATTTATGGCTGGTGGTGTCTTAAATGGCACCTGAGCATATTGTCCCTCATGGATTATTGGTTTGAAATAAAAAGTGGTTTATACATAGAATAGAAAAATGTGAACCACTAACATTTCTGAGGCTAGCACATCTGGGCATGAAGACAACAAGGGGACATTAAAGCAAACTGCACTTCGACTAGAAGAAACAAAAGCAAGCTTTGACATTCTTGATGTCATTCCTGTGTGATAGTCTGTTGGCTGCAAGGTGTTTGTGGGCTTGAATATTCAGTATTTCGGTCAGCATAAACGAACAGAGCAAGATTAAAAATGTTTCTACAGCATAAACAGAAGTATTTGTGTTTTCTTGGGGCTTTATTTAGCTCTCCCTGAAAACATGGGCACAATATCTGTGTTCATTTGGTCTTTGTGAAAAATGGAGAGAGGTTTCCTTTCTCCTCCTTTTTCATTTTGCTCAGTTGAAATTTTTGCAAGTTATTGTTTGTGTGGAACAATTGATTCCTTTTAGAGAGAAGTAGAAAATTCTGTCAATGCTCCTGTTGGGTGCAGATTCACATCCCTACAACGTGGTGCTTAAGGCATTTCAAGGCAATCCTGTTTTGGTTAAGACAAAAGTAATGCCACAGAGAGGGTTTCATGTGCTTCAGTGACACTGAAATAAAACTACATAACCTAAACCCAGAAGGTTGCGAGTATCACTTGCAACATGTTTGATGCCATAGATTGGTACTGTATGACCTTTAACAGGAGTGAAAATCTATTTGATTTTGAGCTATCGCTCCCTACACAGTACACAGAGTGCTAAATTCCCACATGTTTTGGCAGAAAAAAAAAGAACACAGAGCAATGGCTGGATTTGAAATTGATTAATTGAAATTAGAAGTGCAAACCCCATTTCTATCAGAATATGATTGACCATTGGAAATATAAACAGCCAAGAGAATGGCAATTTGTCTCTTGATGTCCTCCAGTCAAAACTTTAGTCAAGCGCAAGTTATGCCTTGGTCATGCCTGATTTCCCAGGGTAATTGGGTGTCAGTCTGCAGCTGCATTATGCAGGAGGTCACATTTGATATTTGTTATGATCTTTTTCAATTTGAAGTCAGAAATTATAACATGAGCCAAATTGAAATAAAGGGTACTCATATTTCTCTCTCCCTTCGCTCACAGGTACTACAGTGCTACCATTTTGCAGATGTCAGGAGTGGAAGACGACAGGCTTGCAATCTGGCTGGCTGCACTGACAGCATTTATAAACTTCATTTTCACTCTTGTGGGAGTCTGGCTCGTTGAAAGGATGGGTCGCCGGAAACTTACACTTGGTAGCTTAGCAGGTGAGTGTTTCATTAGGGTATTGTATGTTCTTCATAATTTTTAGTAAAAGGAAAATAAAATTTCAAGTGCAATTGGTTTTCACAGCAGTCCTCTTTAAAATTACAGTGTTAGTCCCATCTTCTCCCTGAAATCATATAGCTTTGCAAGGCTAGTAGTACAGTACCACAGCTAAAGGCTAATTTAAAAATGACAGCATGTTATTTCTTCAGTTTCTCCTTCAAGCCATGTTGGACAAAGATTTTATTTAGCTTTTTTTTTCCCAGTTTAAGGAATCAAATGCTTGGAACTACACAGCTGGTTAGTTTTTAAATCTCATGTGTAATTTCTGGCTCATTAATAGGAATTCAGAACCATCTGATGAAGAAGTACCAGGGAAAGAATATTGCATAGCCATTGCACCACTTTTTAACAAGTAATGCAGTTCTTTGCATGGTTGTTTCAGATACAATACAGTAAATACCTTACTTACATTAATGTGATTTTAATTCATCTCCTGTATGAGATACTAAAAGGCAGATTTCTGGATTTGTACGTTTTGCCTAAATATTTAAACACAGTAACTCACCACATAGTCTTCTCTTGGAAGCAGGAAAAGGCAGAGCGCGTGGCCTTGCCTGCGCTCAGTGCGCCCTGCCATTTACGCAGTCAGTCCCTGCTTGTTCCTGCATTACGTCCTGGCTGAAGTGATCTCTGATCCAGACATTCAGCCTCCCTCTGGCTGAATGTCTGGAAGGTTCAGCCACTTCCAAGAATAGGGTTTTGCAAAGAGAAACAGTTTCTGCTCCACTTGAAATAATGTTCAGAAGTGTTTAGCTGGGAAGGTTTAATGTCTTCGTATTTTGTTCTGTTGTTGCTGTCAAGGATCCAAACTTCTAGTTAGTGCAACATGGCAGCATGGGGGACCAGCTGCCATGTCTCTGGCCATCTGCAGTTCCCAGCTCCCAGTTGAGTTCATCCACACTCAAGTGTTTGAATGCATTTCTGTAAGCAGAACAGTGACAACATGGTGACGTGCCTGGTCTGGTACACAGTTACTCAAATCTTTAAACTAAAATGTGCAGTTTGGAGACAATTTGGTATTTAAACTAAAATGTGCAGTTTGGAGACAACATAACCAAGTTATGATAAATGTCTATTTGGCCTGTTACCATTTTGATTTGGAGTCAAGAACCCTGGTATGTTTTTCATGATCCAAGTTCAAAAATGTGGTCATGACAGAGGAGCTTGTAAAAACATGTTTCTCACATCTTAAAAGCTATGAACAAAAATCTCAGATCACTACTTTTATCTCAGTCTGTGTCCAGATCAGTTAAAATACATCTCTTCTATAAATTCTACTATGCCTCTAGCCAGTCTGTTTAGTTGTTTTCTATGAAATGGATCTCTCCAGGCCCTGCACTGGCACTTTTGGTTCTTGGGTGCTGCTTCTCCTTTATACTCTATGGGAACAGAGTAGTTCTTTATTTATTTGGTCTTGATAATCTCATATGTCTGGCCCCAGGAGTTTATTGCTTATCTGTCAGTATAGCTGTGATTCCCACATGGACTTCTCATATAATCAGAGCTCTTTGCTTTTTTGGCTCTGGTTGACATATTCAAAGGTTGCACATTTGAAATGTAAATACAAGTGTCTCTTACAAAGCACATTAGTCATGGAACAGAGTAGGATATGGAAATAAGACAGAATTAGCTCTGGAGCATAATGCATTAAAAAGTTGTTTGTTAATGGTATTTAGACACAAAGTAATTGCTTGGTAAAAATGGTTTATCTTCTGTGGTTGGTTGCTGGGCATCACTTGACCCATGCTGTGTTGCTTGCTGTGATTTTCATCATACAATCCCTCCTTAAGGAAAAACCAAAAAACAAAAGAAAATTGTGTCATCTCACTCTACTATTTAATATTTTTTATGCATTTAACACTGGTTTAGGTAGTTGTGGATACGATGTGCTTTTCTTAGCAAGAGTGCTGTGTAACAGAATGAAAATTACTGAATCTACTGATGGATTTGTTTTCCATGTTGAGTTTTCTCATGAGGTACATTACTGCTCTACTTTGTTTTGTGTTTCTAAGGGCATTAACTTTCACACTGAGTTATTACTGGCAGCTTCTCTGGCCTTTGGAGAAGCCAGGTAGGCCCCAGTCTCCCATTGCACAAAATGAAGACAAAACTCCTACTCTTACCTTCTGCTGAAAGGCTATGGGGTTTTGGTTTAGGTTTTTTTTTGTAAAGCCTACTTGATTTGATGTTTGTTCAATGGCAACCGAAAAGGATAATCAGTAGAGTGGCATTACTATTTTGATTATAAGCCATTATACTGTAATTTAATTTTGTAAACTTATGCAGCTTTTCCTGCTTTCTGAAAACATTTGGGAAAGAGCTATTTTACTTTTCATTTGATATATCTTTATCATTTTCAAAATATTAGAAACTTTCAGATAGCACTAGGAAAATGTTAGTAAGCTGCTTCTGAAAAACAAAATCCTATCTTTTTAATTTTCTTGACTTACAGGTACTGATTCCTCTTTGTTTCACATTAATTTTATATCTTGGTATAATTTCTTTATCTTTCTTCTTTTCCTTCAGTTAATTTCTTTCTTCAAAGCAGTTAATTGAGAAACATGCAGGAATTTTGGCAAGTGCATTAGTCATTTTATTTATGCTTTCCTTTTTTACCCTTCAGAAATTGTCAGTTTGAAACCGTGGTGGTACTTGGACGTTGTACTATTTGTATCTCTTTTTGTGACATGGAAGATCTAAAATATCTTCAGGATATTTCTTTTTTTTTTCCCCCAACTCAGCTAATGATGTACTATAATTTTTTGGTTTTGTTACTCATCACAGCAAAACTTCCCATAGAATGAAAACATATTAAACTTCATTTGCCAAGTTTACATATTCAGTAGTTTTCCAAAGAAGTAAGACATTTGCAGAGGCACTGGAAAGTGAGTGTTAGTGTGTTTGGTTAACTTAAAAGACAGACAAAGCATATTTAGAATGAATATAAGTAAGATTATAGCCCATGACTAAAGATATTTGCTGTCTGGTTTATGGCATTTTGAGAGTACAGTAAATCTAGTGCAATATCCAGCCTGCCCAGAAAACTGGGATTATTAATGTACTGCTATGTAGCCATAGCAGTACAAAGCTAAGTATGGAATAAACTGAAATCACACTTTACAGTGGGTAGGTGCTTTCTTCACATAGAGTTTGTGGTAAAGTTTAAGGTCTTAGCTGCCTCAGTTCAGGTAGATGTGTGGTCTAACCGTCTGCAGTTCATGGTCTACTGCACAGGCATATTCATGGATAGCATTATTACACATGTCTTGGTAATTAAGATATTTATATCTCAGAATAAAGTTTTTGCCTCCTCAGTGGGTTTGTCAGCTAGGAAGATCTTGCATTTCTCTTTAAAAAAGCATTCAAATCCACCCCCAGAACTGCTAATACATCCCTTCTGCCTACCAAAAAATAACTCAAACCCCAAAATAAAGACCAGGTAATATATAATTTCTCAAAGATAACCAGAGTGACATGTTAAGGTTTTTAGTGTATTGGCATTTCTAAAGGCTGGCACAGATGCATTGTTGAGAAAATTACATGCATGCTTCTAACTTACAGGGCAAAGCTTTGATGAGGAGTATTTGGAATGTAATACAATGCTCTTCATTTACGCTCAATCATTAAGCTGTGTCACCTTTCTAAATGTGTGCTGCCTTCCTAGGGGATGTGCCTCAGTGGTTTTTGAGTCTGGTTTGGTATGGTAAGGGTAATGCTACTGTATCGTTAATCACTATCTCACAAATAACATTATTACTAGTTTTTTACTGCTATTACTAGATCAGGCTCTACATGTTGTATGTGACCTCAGATAAAACATCCCAGGCAGCCACCAAACACCATGGAGCCGCTCCCTCACTCCCCCACCAGCAGGATGGGGGAGAGAATCAGAAGGGTAAAAGCTAGAAAACCTCATGGGCTAAGATAAAGACAGCTTAATAGAGAAAGCAGAAGCCACATACACAAGCATAGCAAAACAAGGATTTAATTCACTGCTTCCCACAGACAGGAGGTGTTTAGCCATCTCCAGGAGAGCAGGGCCCATCACGCGTAACGGTTCCTTGGGAAGACAAACGCCATCACTCCAGATGTCCCCCCTTCCTCCTTCTTCCTCCCACTTTATATACTGAGCATGATGTCATATGGTATGGAATATCCCTTTGGTCAGTTGGGGTCACCTGTCCCAGCTGTGTCTCCTCCCAGTCTCCCATGCATCCCCAACTTCCTTGCCAGTGTGGCAGTATGGGAAGCAGCAAAGACCTTGGCTCTGTGTGAGCTCTGCTCAGCAATAACAAAAACATCTCTGCATTATCAACTCTGTGTTCTGCACAAATCCTAAACAAAGCCCCATCCTAGCCACTGTGAAGAAAGTTAACTCCAGCCCAAACCAGCACACATCTAAATAGTGAGTATGCAAATAGGTATACAGAGTATTTTATGCAGTATAGAACTCAATGTCTCACTGAGTAGCAAGTTGTACAGGTATTATGAATTGGAGACAGTTGCAGTAGTGTCATAAGTAGTGAGGTATTTATGAGTTATGAACCTTTTTTGTCATCTTCCCTCTCTTAATTTTGCCCAACTCATGCACAACAATTTGTTGGGAGAGACTAGAGCAAGCAGATGGTAGGGGACTTTTTCCTAGCAGGTGTTACGTGTGCTCTTTGAAACAAGATCAGAAATTGATGTTGGACTTCTTGGTGGTGTTTTGTGTTGAAAGTCAAATTTCTCTCATTTCAGAAAGGGAAGTAGATCAAACGAAAAAGCTGATGCTGTTTTCTGTTTTACAGGAAAGCAAGCCTGGGTGTGAGAGTGGGAAGGAATGTGGTGATTTCAAAGTCACTATTAAATTTTACCTTTACAGCATTATTTTCAATACAAAAAATAATATTACTTGTCCATTCATGAAGTCATCAATTCCACATATTATAAAAGATTCAACTAATTTAATATCTGGACATTAAACCTGATGCTCTTGACTTTAACATCTAACCTAATACAGGATGTGGATGTAGCAAAGGGTATTTTTTTTCAGGTTCTCATCCCAACTCCTTAGCAAATGCTGTGTACATAGTGTTGTGATGCCTTGCTTTCCCAAGCAGAGTTCAGTTCAATGCAGAACTATTTCATGGGCTCTGGAGAAAAGTGTCACATTGTTCTCTCTGTATTTTTAGGTACTGCTGTAGCACTCATTATCCTAGCTTCGGGATTTTTGCTATCAGCTCAGGTCTCGCCAAGAATCACACTTAATCCACCAGATCCTTCACATCAAAACTCTACCTGCACAAAATACAGGTGAGATTTCATGATCATTCATCCAATATTCTTGAAGATTGTTTCCAAATACTTGAGTTTTGCAACATTGTGTGAGTAATAGACAATTACTGACAAAACCTAGTACAAGGAACAAAACTAGATACCTGAAGTTAAAATCCTAACTTCCCTTTGTAGAGAAAATTAGACTCTTTGATTAAATTCTCTGAATAATCCTTAGGAGTTTCTTGGACTAAATAAGGTGGTTAAGCAGCAAATTCCACTCTTACCTCCTCTGATATATCACACCTGCTGCAAGTTATAGTGTACACAAACTCAGGAAGATTTTACAAGGAATTTGTAATGTATAACAGCTGTAAACTCTTCAAGATGATGTATTCCTTGCCTATTGTTTTCCTGAGTGGAAAAAAATAATCTTCAGATAATTACATGCCAACTAACAATTAAAATAAATGCGAGTGGTTTGACCTATTTGTCTATAGTAGGTAGAAGATGCATTTTCATCGGCAATCACAGTTTTAAATAATTTTAATTCTGGCATGTTAGGAATGTGTCATTTTCTATATTCTGTGGGTTTTACTCATGTGTGAGTGCTCTTATGTTCATTTAGCTGGCAGACTAGAAAATTCCCTCATCAGGGAAGGCTACTTAAATGGCTGAAGAAATTCTGACTTATGTTCAAAATATGTTTTCTACATGTTTGTAATAGAAATAAATCCCAATAAATGAAAGGTGTGCCTCTGGTGTCCTAGCAATATTGGCTAGAAATATGGTTCATATCTTTTCTTATACTGTAGCAATGTCCTAGGTAAAGATTCTGAGGATCTAAAGGTTTATAGACTCCTGGGCAGGGGATGAAAGGTCTTCATTTAGTGTAAATAGATTAAGAACTGCAGCATGAGATACTACCAGATATAAGCATCCTTACATGCAAACCCCTATATTTTCACTTGTTTTCTACTGCAGAGTCAGCTATATTTTGCAGGATTTGAGATGGGCCTATCTACAAATTGCAAGTAGTCTGGTTAAAAGATGTAAAGGGGGAGGAGCTTCTAAATGTTGTCCTTTTGGAATAAGATCACGTTAAAAGCTGGATCTGAGAAGAATTTGCCTAGGACTTCAGTTAACCCTTTGGAAAGGATGTCTGGAGAGAGCAGGTGCATCCTTTGCAGGATCATGATTTGTTATTTAATAAAGCTAGATGATTGTATAACCTGAAAGTGTAAAATCTGCATAGAAGAAATATGTCTTGTCCACCTTAAAAAAACAGTCAAAAAGTATTGGACAAAGTTTTCATCTTCCTTTTAATCACAGCTAGTCAGGAAGGAAATTTAGACCCATTGCAGCTTGTGTGGTGTGTGTGCTTCTGGCTGAAGCATGAAAAATTAAAGCAGGTAGTTCTAGTAAAGGCATGTTGTTTCAGGAATTATTGGAATATTTATGATCTGTTGTGATTTCTGTTTCTGATGTGAAGTGATCAAAAGCAGATATGATAGAAATTCAAAGGTTCTAGAAAAAGCGCAATAAAAGAATTCAAACATTTTCATTTAGGAGTGTTTTGGAATAGAAGGAGCTCTCAAATGCATGTGGGGGATGTGAAATAATGAGCAACATATGAGAAAGCTTTAGGTGCTTCTATTTAAATCTTAGGATGTCCTTTAGTAGAGAGACACAAAAACTAGAGGAGTTGAAACTTATAAATGGATGCAGTTGCCCACCAATCACAGAATTAGGCTACAGCACCCAGCATTTAAAAGGATTAAAACCCTCTTTTTTTGGTATGGTTAGTATGTTTAATGGAAATTGACATGGTTAATTGCAAGCCTCACACTTGTATATCTAAAACTGTATTTGGGGTCTAAATTTTCATGGTCCAAACCATAATACGGTTAAGTTGAAGGAAGAATATTCCTTCAGAATCATGAATATTAGTGTTTATTATTTCTAGATGTTATGACATATGTGCATACATTATATTTGACATGGAAAAGTGGCTGTTTAAGATCCCAGTGTGACTGCTTTCTGTGCACATTTTCAATAAGCTGAATGAAATGATTAAAACTGGCTTTGTCATGAGGAAGTAGATGGTGTTTTCATCATTCCACTTGCATTAGAAAAACTTCAGCATATAACATGTGTGGTCTTCAAAGGAAGAGGAGGAAAGCTAAAGGCTGGGCTGTATATTGTGTGGCTCACCTCTCTCCTTTTTGGCCCTAAAGGTCTGCATGAGGTTCAGTAAGGCTCAGTGCTGATCCTGCATTTGGGACACAACAACCCCATGCAGTTCCAGGCTGGGGGAGGAGTGGTGTGAGAGTTGTTCATCAGAAAGGGACTTGGCAGTGCTGGTGGACAGTGGCTCAAATGAGCCAACAGTGTGCACAGGTGGCCAAGAAGGGCCAATGGCATCTTGGCCTGTATCAAGAATAGTGTGGCAGCAGGACTAGGGGAGTGATCATACCCCTGTACTTGGCACTAGTGAGGTCACACTTCAGTGCTGTGTTCAGTTTTTGGGCCCCTCACTCTAAAAAGGACATTGAGGCACTGGAGGGAGTCCAGCTAAGGGCAGTGTGGTCAGAAAAGGTCTATAAAATATATCATTTGAGGAAGGGCTGAGGGAATTTTGTTTGTTTAGCCTTGAGAAGAGGCTCTGGGGTGACCTCATGGCTCTCTCCAACTACCTGAAAGTAGGTTGTAGAGGAGTAGGGGATGATCTCTTCTGCCATGGCTGCAGGGAGAGGACTAGAGGGAACAGCCATGAGCTGAGACTGGGGAGATTCAAATTAGATGTTAGGAAAACTTTTTTTCCATGTTAGGGTGTTCAGACACTGGAATAGATTGCCCAGGGAGGTGGTGGAGTCACCATCCCTGGAAACGTTTAAGAGGTGTCTGGATCTGGCACTGGAGGATACGGTTTAGGGGTTCCAGCAGAGTGACAGGTTAATGTTTGGACTTGATGATCTTAGAGGTCTCCTCCAACCTTGGTGATTCTATTCTAGGTATTCGCCATGGCAGTTATGGAGTTGAGTCATAGATATTTTCAAACCCGAGGTTTTGGATGCAAAAGTCTACTCTGCATAGTGCCAGTCTTGCATATTTTCTTTGCTACTCTAAGAATAATGACATTACTGTACAGATAGCCACTGTGTAGGGCAGCAAGGGCTAATGTAGGGACAGCTACAAACAGGATATCCTACCAAAAGTGCAAGGAAGTAACCTAATGGCAGTGATCGCTTACTGTTTAACCCATATTTTAACTTGCTTTAAGCATAGCTGTTGGTATCTCAGATTGCTTGGCATTATATCTTGCAAGCCTTGAAGAGGTCTCAAAAAGTTTTGGAAAAGTAAAAGGCAGCAGGTCTTCAGAGGGTGAACATACAATGCCATCTGCCTGTAACTGCTTTTAAGAATGTGTGCCTACAACTCATAGTCTTCTTCATCTAATGGTGACGCAGTGCTTCTCTGAGGTGAGGTATACTTAGAGTCTAAACCTGTTTGCAGCTCAGGCATTTCAGACTGTGGGGGTGTTTCCTAAATATAGTTTGCATTTGTCTTTGCCAAAATGTATTTATAAGTTATGAAAACCTTGGTAAAATTTATTTTGCTGACAGAAATTTCAGTGATACTGTGCAGAGTTAAAATGCTTTCAGTGTTTGCAAATCTGTTGGGTTCGAGTAAGTGTAGGAGTTCTGAGGAACCCTTAGAGCTACTACAAACAGTCTGTTTGTTTGTTGTTCCTTCAG